TCCCAGCTTAGCATGCATTTTGCATTGGCTCACATTACCTGGGACAAAAATGAATCAAGCAACCGTCAGCGTTCTCCCATGCCGCTCCACCTCACCCCAAATACACTTCCGATTTCTTTTTTACTGTAGTGCCTTGAAACCCAGTTCATTGCAGAGTAATGCACTGAAATATAACCTAAAGCTCTATAAACTCCAAGCACGATACAAACGGCCTGCAGATACATAGCAACCCCAAAATATATATTTGATATTCACCAAGATAAATAAAGATTTAAAAAATAAAGCATTAGCGTTCCCTTCATAATCAGCAGCAGACAAAGGCAATTGGTAGAACGGATCAGCGCTGGAAAATGCTAGAGCAAGCAAGAGATGTATATAAAAAAATACTGAAGCTGAAACAGGTTAACATGGTTAGGTTTTACCGCTGAATGATATTCCTTCTGCCCTTAAAATCTGGATACTTGACATTTTATGTGCAATAGTTGAAATGCCCACAGCTTCAAGTCTTTAAGCTTTGGAAGGGCAAGTTCCAGGTGTTAGTAATGAAAAAAAAAAGTCTATTTACAAAGGGAAAAAAAATATTCTGTGCTATTTTAAGGCCAGGAAGCTGCTTAAGGACAGCTTGAGGAGTGTCTTCTACTGCTGGGGTGAGAAAAAAATATATACTTCAAGTTTTGGAGCGTTTCTGGAACGTGGAAGGGTCTGAAATGCAGGGGCAGCTAACAATTTCATTGTTTCAAGCAATGGAAATGGAAAGGAGTTTATTTCTAGAAAAAGAAGATAAATGGATCTGACATATAATAAATAACAGCATCCTTTAGGGGGGGATTGAAAACAGGAGGACACGGAGAAGACGTCTATTCCATGGCTCTGACTCTGCGACAGATCTCTGCGGTGAACTCTGAACATTTGGCGTTGCCTCCCAAATCTTTGGTCAAGACCTAAAATTGGGAAAGGGAAATGAAATTTTGCTCATTGTGCATGGAACTTAAGATCATTCATGAACGGGAAAGAGGACTAGGCTGCCTGATCTAATTTTTCTACCACCAGATTTATAGGGCACCCAGAAATAAAGATTCTGTTTTATAGTATTTGTACTGAAAGCCAGAATAAATTCCCAGTTCCTGCTTTTGAGTCCCTGGTACGAAATTCAACTTTTGGCATCTTGTCACCTGATGCTCATCATTTATACAGTAGAAATAGCAAAGGGTGATAGAACCACTTAGTCCAGGGGTGGGCAATTATGATGACTTTACGACCAGTGGACTTCAACTCCCAGAATTCCTGAGCCAGCCAGAATTCTGGGAGTTGAAGTCCACCAATCGTAAAGTTGTACAGTTGTCCACCCCTGATGCTGGCTCAGAAATTCTGGGAGTTGAAGTCCACTAGTCGTAAAGTTCCTATATAGTTGCCCACTCCTGACCTAGTCAATGCTTAACTAATTTTGGAAAAAGTGCTGTGATTTCAGATATGGAAGGCCTGAACCTAAATAAACAGGCATTCAATCCCAGAACGGGCCCCAGCTGAATCCCAAAGTCACCTCAGTTTGGTGAACCTTAGCAAAATCTACCTTCTGGTCTTTGATGGTCTCAAAGCAAGCCGTTTCTATTTTCATGGCAAAGTCTTGCATTTCCATGTGACGCAACATCATGACAGCACTCAAGAGAAGCGCCGTTGGGTTGGCCAAGTCTTTTCCGGCAATATCCGGAGCTGTTCCGTGTACCTGGGAAGAGAAGGCATTCTCATCCCCTCTGACCAATCGTTATCCCCCCCCCCCAAAGGCAAGTCTAACAAGGTAAGACCTTACCGATTCAAAGATTGCAACTCCGTTAGCACCAATATTCCCACTAGGAGTCACACCAAGACCCCCGATTAAGCCCGCGCATAGATCACTGGAAGAAAAACACACAAGCACAGAGAAGAGATGGGAGAAAGGACAATTAGCCTTTGCAGTGGAAGATATTTGATAACCCCCACTGGAGAACCCCAAGCTCTGTAGCAGGGAAGTAAAATCAGGTTGCACCAGAGCAGAACGTTTGGAAGGGGAAGTTGTGGAGACATCTCCCACCCGGATGGACCACAATCATCTCAAAAGCTACTTGCCTAAGTATGTCCCCATACAAATTTGGCATGACCAGGACATCAAACTGAGATGGATCCTGCACCATCTGAAGAAAAAAAAAAAGACAAGTTAATAGTTGTTTTTAACACAACCAGAACAGTGATTGCTTAAATCGGGTGCCCGATTATTCCATGGACCGGCACTGATCTGCAGCATGCCAGAAACCGGGCCGCAGACACAAGCAAAGCCCCATCCGTGGGATGCAGGCAGCAGGTGAACCAGGCTCCCTCTGGGTTGGGGGCCGCTGGCTTAAATGACTGATCATACGTTACATACTCACATTCAGACACACAGTGTCGAGGTACATTTCGTTAAATTTAATATCTTTACAGTTTTCTGCTGCTTCTCTACATTTTCTCAGAAACAGACCATCAGACATACGCCTGCAAATAAAGAAAAGCTTTAGAGGTTAGAGGTCCAGGCATGCAAACATGTTTTTTTTTAATTTACCTGTAGCTAATCAATTATAAAAGCTTTCTTTTAGTGAGTTAATTTGGAAAAGAGGAGAAAAGGGATCGGAATAATATCTGCCAAAAATAAGCTTCCAATACACCACATCTCTTTCTGACAATGTTTTGCATCAGAAAACCTGACTTGATTAAAAAAAAAAGGGGGGGGAAGCAGTTAGGATTCTGAAAATTGGAATTAAGGGTTGGAAAGGCCTGGAGTTATTTTATCACCACCTACATAATATTAGCTTTATGCACAGCCGTAACTTTGCTCCTCTGATTATTCCTGGCATATTCAAAAGCAAAGTCAGCAATCCGTTTGCTTGCGTCCTCGGTGATGAGTTTAATGCTCTGCACAACACCATCAACAATCTGAAAGACACACAAAGGTTAAGCGAGTAGCGAAAAAAGGGGGTTATGAAAAACTTGGAAAAAACATCTTCACCGCGAAAGAGAATTAAATGGGGTTAAAAGTTAATTTCATTTAAGCATTTGTTAACTTCAAGCAGCCTGCGTGATCTGCGCATGTGGGACGGCTAGCACGACTGTCCACTTGTTCCACGTACTATGTGCTCAATGCCGCTGTATTCGCCTTCCGTGTTCTCTCGTATGGTGACGATGTCCACATCTGTGTAAGGGGTCTTGTAGCCCTCAATGGACACACAAGGGCGGATATTAGCATATAAGTCAAATGTTTTACGGAGCAGTAAATTCATGGACGGATGGCCAGCAGCTATGGGTGTTTTCAGAGGACCTGGAAAACAAGCAGAAGCACAAGAGATGTGGGAAAGTGCTCACTGGCAGCACAACATTAGGAAACTGGCAGTGAACCAAGCAACAATTTATTTTTTTTACAGCCACGCTAAAATGTGATTTAAAAAAGAAACAAGAAATGGGAACTTGTCAGCATATATCAAAACTTTATATAGAGGAATTCAAGGATGGGGTTATTTCCAGAACTGCAGCAAAACTTAATTGTCCTTTCTTTCCATCCAAGTACCTTTTAATCCTATTTTGTTCTTGTCCATAGAGTCTTTGGCATCTTGTGGTATCATCCATTTCCCTCCTGGCCCTTGGATGGCAGTCACGATTCTTTCTTCAAACTGAACAGGGACCTAAAGACATTTTTTTTTTGCATTATCAACCACTCTGATTGTTGTCCTCAGAATTAGACAATTAAATTGCACTTTTAAAAACATCTGCAGAGCATCGAGCAGGAATAAAGCTATCAAGGAATAAAGCCACTGCTCATTCAGAAGGAATAACTAACACAGGAAGCCATCCATGGCCAGGTTACCTTAGCAGTTTCAAAAATCTCCACCACAGCAGCAGAAATTTCAGGCCCAATACCATCTCCTGGGATCAGTGTTACCGTCTGAGGCTAGAAGAAAAATAAAATAAAATAAAAAACCCTCATCCACCAGATGCTATGCTTAAAACTGATTTCAAAGAAAAAAAAATCCTGGAGATTATCTGGACTTTAAAGGATGCCATGTGATTTCTATGCATTTTTTTACTCTGCATTGCTCAATGAGAGGATTGCAGTTTGTATTTTCTTGGGCTTCCCTGACCTGCTAGCAACTTTAAGATGTGTGGACTTTAAATTCCTGAAACCCCCAGCCAGCATGGTCTTATTTTGGTATTCTATAACCCTCTTGTAAAGTATCTTTAAAAGAGGAGGGGGAAAAAAACTACACTAGTATACTTACAGTACTAGCAAAATTTCTGGTCACCTGTTTCTGAATTCTGAACCCCTCAAGAAAACGCAGGAACTATAGCAATGAAAATAAGAATATAGTTAATTTTAGCAGCCAGACTAACAGAAAGCATCTGCTGTAGTAAATCAGCACTGAATTTTAAACCAGTTAGATAGGGCTAACTCCCAATTTTGTTTATTTCTGTGCATGCATGTGCTTTGTGTCTACTAGATTACAGTCCCTGAGCAAAGGAGAAGGAAGGTAAATTTACACATGGTAAGAACTGTGCTTATTCTTTACACCAAAGGAATTTGATCCAGCTTTTTCAAATGCAGAGATTAAACAAGACAGGTGATCATCATATCATTGAAAATGGCAATAATTTTATTTTATATAGCTGTACCCAGCCACAAGTTGCTGTGGCTCAGTCTGGTAAAAGGGTGTGTTGCTTTTACGTCCAACAGATGGCGCTGTTTTTCAAAAAAGCATGTTTTTACCTGTCATAGGTGTGGCATCTATATAATATAGGTATATAAAAACATGCGCATATTCGAATGCAACGTTGTGTCAAAATTTCAAAGCAATCGGTGAAGAACTTTCGGAGATTTAAGATTTTGAACAAACGAACATTTACATTTTTATTTATATAAATAGAATATAGAAGATGCTGCCCATTTCACCAATGTTGTCTATCACCCCTTATATAGGGGTGATAGACAACATTATGTGGATATCATAAAAATACACTGATCTATCATTTTATATTATATATCTAAAAGACAGGCTTAATAATAATAATAAATAATAATAAATAATATCCAGCAGACAATGATCAACCTGGAAATATCAGCAATCCTTTCCCCAAAGAGTGGGGGTGTCACATCTGCCCCTCGACCCCAATGCAGCCAGGGGGGAACCTTGCAAGCAGTCCTCCACCCCTTCCTCCTGGCCTACCACACGGGGTTGTTGTGAGGACGCAGCCAGCGGGGGGGGGATCAGCCTAACTAAGAGGCAAGCAGGAAGGGCATAGGCTCCCACCGGGCTGCAGGTTACAGGCCTACAACTCCCAGCAATCTCTCGGCCTGCCGCGGAGGCTGCTGGGAGTTGTGATTCGGTCCCATCGAAAGCGCCGAAGACCGCGCTCGATTCAAGGCCCTGTCGGACTACAGGTCCCAGCAACCCCCGCGCGTCCCACAAGGGAAAGGCTGCCGGGAGTTGTGGTTCCGGGCCCCGCGAGGTTCCAAGGGCGTCCCCGTCAAAGGGCGCCCAAGCGGGAATCACGGAATGCCCCTCACACGCCGGGAAGGGCGGAACAGCCGAAATCTCGCGAGACTTCCCACCGGTCCACCCGGGGGAATCCTCCTGAGGGAGAAGCCAAGGTCACCTCAGGGCCCGCCTCACCTTCGGAACCCAGGAGGACGTAGCCATGGCGATGGGAGCGGCGGTGGCGGCAGCGGCGGTGGCGACCCTTCCACCTCCTCGCCGGCTCGACCCGGCTTGACGCTCACGCCGCTGGTCGGAAGGGAAGGAATCGGCCGCGGCCTCCTCGCCGGCGCTGCGCTGGGGATGCGCCGGCCAATCGGCGCCCGCCGACTGCCCCGGGCTGGCAGCGGATTGGTGGGAAGCGTGGAGGATTACGCCCCGTCCCACCTCCGCAGAGACCGGGGAGGTGCCTCTCTTGATTGGTCGGCCCGTCACGTAGAGCTGTTGGGGGCGGGACTATGCAAAGGACTAGAACTCGCCACGTGACCTCACCTGCATTCAGGTTCTCCACGTGCGAATGGAGGAGAATAAGGAGAAAAGCCTTAGAATGGAGCAACAGAGCTGGAAGGGACCCTGGAGGTCATCTAGACCAACCCCCTGTCAAGCAGGAGACCCTATCCCATTTCAGACAAATAGCTGTCCAGTCTCTTCTTGAACACCTCCAGTGATGGAGCAGCCACAGCTTCTGAAGGCAGGTTGTTCCACTGATCGATTGCTCCCTCTATCAGGAAATTTATCCTTAATTCCAGGTTGCTTCTCTCCTTGATTACTTTCCATCCGTTGTTCTTTGTCTGGCCTTCGAGTGCTTTGGAAAAAGGAAGTTGACCCCCTCTTCTCTGTGACAGCCCCTCAAACATTGGAACACTGCTATCCTGTCACCCAGTTCTTAATTGCATGCATCTGTGCTCATATATTGCATATATATGTGTGTGTGTGCATACACACATCCACATATGTGCAATTCAAGGTATAGAGTTTCCTGCCTGAGCAGGGGGTTAAATTAGAAGAGCTCCAAGGTCCCTTCCAATTTTTTAAATAATAATAATAATAATAATAATAATAATAATAATAATAATAATAATAATAATAATAATAATAATAATAATAATAATAATAATAATCCTTATCGATAAGGAAAAGTTGCTTTTCGGAGTGAGATGGGCAGCATATAAATATAATATGTATTTAAAAATATTAAAATAAATGTGAGGGTAAACGTTTAAAGTTTAGCCAGGTATTTAATACGCCAAAGGACTGTTTGATCAATCAACGCACAGAGTGAAATATAGGGAGCCCTTATCCATGTTACAAAAGTAAAACAAAATGTTGCAAATGTATTGGCATGCTGTTTATTTTTTTAAGTCCCCAAACCTGGCAAGCTGCTCTGGCACCAGACTTAAGTGTGGTTTACATCAAAAGTGTAACATAAATGATTTCATGCTTCCATAGGAATTAAGCATCCGCTGATTTAAAACATAGATTTGTGTTTTGAAATGAAAGCTTATTATCCCCAAAGTAAATAAATCCCCAAGTGGTGTTTCTATTGCCTTCCTAAAATTTAACTAGTTAAAATTTAACTAAGGAGAGAAGCAATTTGGAATTAAGGAGGAATTTCTGACAGTGAGAACAATCAACCAGTGGAACAAACTGCCTCCAGAAGTTGTGGGTGTTCCATCACTGGTAGGTTTTTTTTAGAAAAGACTGGACAGCCACTTGTCTGAAACAGTATAGCGTCTCCTGCTTGAGCAGGGGGTTGGACTAGATTACCTCCAAGGTCCCTTCCAACTCTGTTATTCTACAATTCCAGATCAATCAACCAGTGGAACCGCTTGCCTCCAGAAATTGTGAGTCCTCCATCCCTGGAGGGTTTTTTTTTAGAAAAGACTGGACAGCCACTTGTCTGAAACGGTATAGCGTCTCCTGCTTGTTATTTTTTGTTTTTGTTATTGTTAGGGATTCATCCTCTGCTCCCATTCTCTATAAAATAGGTAGATAATTCTTATTTTTGTCGGTGGCCAGATCCAGCAGAACTGTGGATGATGGGTACAAGGGCATTATCCATTTGCCCGGCTTCTGCCATAAAACAAGAGGAAGTGCTGCCACCATGTGGCTGAAGACGCGCAGCACACGAAGGAGCGACCAAAAGGAGGATCGTCTTCAATTTCCCTTCGTGCCTTTGAGATCGGAGGCAGCCGACATGGTTTCTCCAGACCTCGGAGGCGTCTCCTCCGATTTTCTCCCTCCAGCAAAGCCCTCCTGCTGCCCCCCAGGGACAAAACAGGGAGCCCAGATAGCCTCCTCCGGGTCTGATCTTCATGGGGGATTTTAACCCCTTCCCTCTCTACAGGAAGAGCAGGCACCACTGCAAATCTTTTGATGCAGGTGTGAGATTTTTTTTTTGTTTTCCCCCTTTTCTCCTCGATCTGGCCACGTTGCATGCTTGGTCTCGATGCCAGCAAGACCCCGGGCCCTAAATCTTGGCATGGGATGCATCTGGACACAGGAAGGCGCCTCCTTCGAAAATGGGGAACAAGCAAACCATCTTTACAGATGAACAATTAGACGCCTATCAGGTGAGCTGGACTGGGCTGGGTTTGGCAAGAATGGGGATGCTCGGGATGGGGGGGGGAAAGCATGATGCGCCCTTGCGTCAGGCTTCAGCTGATGGGGTTGAAGGCTGGTGGGTCTCCCAAAACTCCCAGACAGCATCGTCTCTTTTCTGGGTGAAACCCCCTTTCTGTATGCTTGAATAGACTTCCCTGTGACAGGGCCCTTCCTTCGATCTGGCCTTGGGGTCAGGATGGGCTTAGAGGCAGTTTTCCAGGATGGGGGGAGAGAGAGAGAGACAGAGAGGGAGAGAGGGAGGGAGGAAGGGAGGGAGAGAGAGAGGGAGGAAGAGGGAGGGAGGGAGGGAGAGAGAGAGGGAGGAAGAGGGAGGGAGGGAGGGAGAGAGAGAGGGAGGAAGAGGGAGGGAGGGAGGGAAAGAGAGAGAGAGAGAGAGAGAGAGAGAGGGAGAGAGTCAGAGGGAGGGAGAGAGGGAGGGAAGGAAAGAGAGGAAGAAGAGAGGGAGGGAGGGAAAAAGAGAAAGACCGAGAGGGAGAGTGTTTGGGGCAGGTGGTCCTGCTTGGAAGGCCCAAGATCTGTTGGGTTGAATCCTGAAGCTTTTAGATTTATTTATTTTATTTATTTATTTATTTATATTTAAACTTCTATGCCGCCCTTCTCCCCAGAGGGACTCAGGGCGGCTTACAGCATGTTAAAAAACAACACAAAAAACATTTCCCCTATAAAACCAATTAAAAAACAAATATATTAATAGCTGTGTCATATTTAAAATCTTTGAAAATTTTTAAAAATTATTCCCTATTTAAAATTCANTCCCAGCTTAGCATGCATTTTGCATTGGCTCACATTACCTGGGACAAAAATGAATCAAGCAACCGTCAGCGTTCTCCCATGCCGCTCCACCTCACCCCAAATACACTTCCGATTTCTTTTTTACTGTAGTGCCTTGAAACCCAGTTCATTGCAGAGTAATGCACTGAAATATAACCTAAAGCTCTATAAACTCCAAGCATGATACAAACGGCCTGCAGATACATAGCAACCCCAAAATATATACGTATTTGATATTCACCAAGATAAATAAAGATTTAAAAAATAAAGCATTAGCGTTCCCTTCGTAATCAGCGGCAGACAAAGGCAATTGGTAGAACGGATCAGCGCTGGAAAATGCTAGAGCAAGCAAGAGATGTATATAAAAAAATACTGAAGCTGAAACAGGTTAACATGGTTAAGTTTTACCGCTGAATGATATTCCTTCTGCCCTTAAAATCTGGATACTTGACATTTTATGTGCAATAGTTGAAATGCCCACAGCTTCAAGTCTTTAAGCTTTGGAAGGGCAAGTTCCAGGTGTTAGTAATGAAAAAAAAAAGTCTATTTCCAAAGGAAAAAAAATATTCTGTGCTATTTTAAGGCCAGGAAGCTGCTTAAGGACAGCTTGAGGAGTGTCTTCTACTGCTGGGGTGAGAAAAAAAATATATACTTCAAGTTTTGGAGCGTTTCTGGAACGTGGAAGGGTCTGAAATGCAGGGGCAGCTAACAATTTCATTGTTTCAAGCAATGGAAATGGAAAGGAGTTTATTTCTAGAAAAAGAAGATAAATGGATCTGACATATAATAAATAACAGCATCCTTTAGGGGGGGATTGAAAACAGGAGGACACGGAGAAGACGTCTATTCCATGGCTCTGACTCTGCGACAGATCTCTGCGGTGAACTCTGAACATTTGGCGTTGCCTCCCAAATCTTTGGTCAAGACCTAAAATTGGGAAAGGGAAATTAAATTTTGTTCATTGTGCATGGAACTTAAGATCATTCATGAACGGGAAAGAGGACTAGGCTGCCTGATCTAATTTTTCTACCACCAGATTTATAGGGCACCCAGAAATAAAGATTCTGTTTTATAGTATTTGTACTGAAAGCCAGAATAAATTCCCAGTTCCTGCTTTTGAGTCCCTGGTATGAAATTCAACTTTTGGCATCTTGTCACCTGATGCTCATCATTTATACAGTAGAAATAGCAAAGAGTGATAGAACCATCTAGTCCAGGGGTGGGCAATTATGATGACTTTACAACCAGTGGACTTCAACTCCCAGAATTCCTGAGCCAGCCAGAATTCTGGGAGTTGAAGTCCACCAATCGTAAAGTTATACAATTGTCCACCCCTGATGCTGGCTCAGAAATTCTGGGAGTTGAAGTCCACTAGTCGTAAAGTTCCTATATAGTTGCCCACTCCTGACCTAGTCAATGCCTAACTAATTTTGGAAAAAGTGCTGTGATTTCAGATATGGAAGGCCTGAACCTAAATAAACAGGCATTCAATCCCAGAACAGGCCCCAGCTGAATCCCAAAGTTTGGTGAAACTTAGCAAAATCTACCTTCTGGTCTTTGATGGTCTCAAAGCAAGCCGTTTCTATTTTCATGGCAAAGTCTTGCATTTCCATGTGACGCAACATCATGACAGCACTCAAGAGAAGCGCCGTTGGGTTGGCCAAGTCTTTTCCCGCAATATCCGGAGCTGTTCCGTGTACCTGCGAAGAGAAGGCATTCTCATTCCCTCTGACCAATCGTTACCCCCCCCCCCCCAAAAGGCAAGTCTAACAAGGTAAGACCTTA